ATTTTTTTTTTTGTGAACCGTTCCTTCAGATGCAATGACATGCAAATGGAAACAAATGAAAATGCAGTAAAAGAATATGAAATATTTATGACCCCTGAAAATTCAGGTAGTGACAACTGCTACTTTTCTCAAATCTGTAAAGAACTGGCTTCAGTACAAAACTAGTTGTTAACTGTAATTAAAGATACACCAGAAATATGTTTCACTTTTTCTCTCTCTCCGTCTTTTTAAATGTGCTGCAAACAAGTCACACACCAAGAGTTTTCTAGTTACTGTAGTCAATAATAGCATTAAATGCTTAAAGGTACAGTTCACCTGAAAATTCTATCATCATTTACTCACCCTCAAGTTGTTCCAACCTGTATGACTTGCTTTCTTCTGTAGAATCTTTCACACTTTCAACAGTTTTTCACCATGCAATAAAAGTCAGTGTATTCCAAAATAACTTTTTGACTCTTGATACTTTTTTGTCAAGAGAAAAAAAATCTGATAAGTACAAAGCAAAAGTCTCCACTTGCTCTCCATTTATTCTCATTGATGTCTATAAGAGAAAAAAAATTAAGATATTAGATCTCATTTGTGACTTTTCTTTCTTATAGAACCAGAATCTACAATGCTATGTCTCTCACTTCTCTCCGCCATCACCAACAGCTGTGAAATCTCCATTTCCCCCCAGCCATAACTACACAGTCTCAGTTCACCTCACAAAAGAAACGGGCCTCTTCTGATCCAAACCTTAGAGAGATTGATGAGAGATTGCGTCATTTTTTCTGTCGTTCTGTCAGGTTGTTTTTCCCCTGCCATCGCTGTCCGTGTTCACTGTACGGTGCAGAGGGCGCAAACACTTCTGCAGTAATTGGGTACAGACCAAGAACTTTAGCGTGGCCCAGCATAAGCTGATGTGAGCCTACTAGGAGCGGAGTAAACATAAAAAGAAGGGAGCAGGGGAGACTGTCGGGGGTCCACAGGGACTCGCACAAGAACACAAAGCATTAACATAATGAGGCTATTGGCTGTTGCGTAAACAATCTACCTCATTGTTCTACAGGTGGCACAACATCTCCGACTGCTTCCAGCAGCTGTTTCTTAGAGCCTCTATTCATTCTAAACAGGTCTGCACATGCTCTGATGTGATGATCGATTGGGAAAAAAATTATATTTTCATAATTTTTTTATAATTATAAAATTATAAGTCTTAGCTGGCTGCTCGCCTCACACACTATATGTTGATTTTGTTGAGTCATTGTAGATGCTTTCTGGAACTCTGCTTGAATTTTTATCAGACAGCGCTCTTTCACAGCCAGCAGTGCTCTCTCGCTTAGAAGCGTGAAACAGAATTTGCTGAATTGTGCAATGTGGCGCATTATGCTGTGGCATTATAAAAAGAGCCTATAATATGATATGACCTACAGTCTAATCTATTCTCTAAGGATCCCCTACACACTGTAGCTCTGACCGATTCAGTACGTCCTTTTACAGCGAGTCCATCTCAATGAACCCTTAGCAGTACAGAATCATTATGGATGTGCTATAGAAATTTAAAGATGATTATCTTCATCTGTATGCAGAAGAAATAGGCTATGTGGATATGCCTTATAGTACCACTCCAGACCTTTTTTGACATTATTATGTCTACCATGGTACTGAATGATCACATATTCATGTACCGCAGTATTTAAGTGGTATGGTACTTCAACAAAGGTCCAAAACAATATGGCAGTTATATAAATTGTCTTCAGTTATATAGTTAAATAAACTGCACATGCAATAAAGAGCTGCTTCGTTGTTAACAAACGATAGAAATCATTTGCAAGTTTTTCTACAATAGATTGATCCACGTTATCCAGCGCTCTTTTTGTTCACGCTCTTAAAAAATATTGGTTATTGAGGCAAAAGTCATAGTTAATGTTTTGTTAATAGCAAGAATTGAAACTTAAAGTGTGACCAAATTAGACTGCACTGGTCGCTGGAGTTGAAATAGTGGCAGAATACTGCAGAAAAATATCCGGTTACTATTTCGGTGTGAGAGAAACCACTGCAAACTTACAGCGTGTGAATGAACTGTCCGAATGAAGCAAACAATTTCAGACCTTTTTGCAAATCTATTTGACTGATTAGACCAAGAGAGTTATTCACGAATCTGGCTATGCTAGTTCTGATTCTAAACAGCCGTTAGAAAACACAAGAATTGATTGCTGAAATATTATCAGAGAAAATTATTCTCAAGTCAGTATACATCGATCCCATTGACAAATAAGGATTTATCAGTTCAATCTTTACCAAGACACAGCGGGTCTTGTGCCACAGTAAAAAGGGTCTAGCGACACCCTTGGACTTTGATACTGCGTCCAAAAACCCAACGTAGTTTCTTCTCAGTGCACCTTCATTTCAGCAGTTCTAGATGATCAAGACAAATTCTTTAAAATTGCTATAAAATTTAATTGACAAAGGGAAAGATTAAAAAAAAAAACACAAATGAGGCTGAATTCTTAAATTCCTCCTCTACTCCTGAGGCCAGATTACCAGCTAGCCTGCTGGTTTAAATGAATATCCGATCGAGTCTGAAAGAGAGGCAGGATTTCTGCAGAGCACAGATGCTATGCATAATTCTCCCTCAGCAGAAGCAAATGCATTATCGTAAGTTCTTTAATCAACGCAAAAAACAACAAGATTTCCGTTAAAGTGACTCCTCATCCTCTCTCCAGGCTTCAAGTAAAACAATATTCAGTAGATGCAAGCTAAATGACTGGCTGAGGTTTCCCCAGTAACAGGTTACAAAGTGACAGACAAGAGGCAGACTTTGTTTCAGGCTAAAGATATTCTGTTCAGCTCATGTTGGCAACATCTACTCCCTCAGCCCATCTCTCCTTCACTCCTGTCCTCATTCTCCACATATAGCCTGCTGCCCCACTATCCTAAATTTCCAGCATCAGAAAAAAAACAATCGGTACAGGTGACAGATTGTCAGGCTCAGAGAACGGGAAAATGAGGCGGGGGTGGGGTAATGTCAAGAAAGGGGATCCCACAAAGAGTCTCGTGAAAAAGTGGGTTACTGGGGCTGCTGGGATTGGTGAACAACAATGTGGTGGAGACAAGACTGGAGAGACAATGGTGATGACATGTTCTGAGCCAAAGAAAATGAGTGTGTGAGTGTGAATGTCTGGTGTTTCTCAACCGTACTTGCTTGCAGGTCAGTACTAAGTTTTTATGTGGTGGAAAATGGCTCAGAATACCAAGATCTGACATACTTTACTGTAATCATACAGCATTTTTTGACCAATGTGAATGGGCTTGATTACTGTATATAAAAGCCTGGTTATAATGTTTTTTCAAAATGTCAAATTATAATGTAATTTAATGAATAACTTATGCCATAATGAATAAGAAAATGTATATAAATAGTTTTTTAATAACATTATTAATGCCTGTTTTCCATGGGCAGTAAAGGCGCATTATTTATTGTGCCAGACAAATAACATAACGTGCCTCTTTTCTGTGAAAATTGAGTTAATTTGCACTAAAAAGAGTGATAATTCATTTAACAATTCACTGAATGCAAAAGTATTTCATCACATTATTCATCTAGTTAAACTGGGTTGTGGATGTAAAATTTGCTGTAGTCATTTAGTGAATTCGCCCAAGTCTGTAGCATCTATGATGAACTCAACTGACATCTTTCCCAACCGTTAGAAACCTGTCCCACTTGTTTTCATTCACACAATCGCCCCGCTTCCCATATTAACGGCTCAAACTGACACACCTGACACAACATGTTGTGCATGATGTAGACTCATGATTAACAGCCTGGCCTGGAATAGTCACACAACGAATAAGCAGTAAAGAGTGTATGTGAAATGAATATGCTGAACACACACTACAGGAACTAGCCTAATCTAGTAAATATTCTACTAGATTATTAACAGGAACGATTATGAACGCATTTGTGCTTGACAAACTCATAACCTGCAGCACAAAGGTAAACCTTCTAAAAATGGACTTCGGCCTTGCATTATACAAACTGATTTTCAGAATGACTTGTTAGTGTTGGCCAGCACAAGCTCTGTAAAGGGTCCAGCCACACAGACCTGCGGGCCAATCAAGCCCCACTGAACATAAAGCATAAATGATCCCAGCTGCAGCCTACAGCCTCTAATAAGAAAACAAACAGAGCATGACCATATTTACTGGTGCTAGAGAGTGTCTATGTGCACAGAGACACACACATATACACAGCTCTCCCATTACTTAATGCAAACCTTGCAGCCAAAACTGGAGACTGCAGTTAATTTGGATGTATGGCTTCTGGGCCACAAGCGGAGCGGTCATAAACTTGATATGTATAATTAAAGTAAGAGACGGAATATAGAATAAAAAGTGTCTCCTATGAGTCAAAGTTAGAAACATGCTGATGATGATCATCGACCATAAGCCAGGAACAAAAGGACAGTGTCTCCATGCATCAACAGCTGCCCATAAGGCATACTAATGCACCAATGATAACAAACGACTGCCCTGCTGGCTGGAAATAAATCCATAAAAAATCAAATGAAGGGATTATCGATACTGTGAACACTACAGAAGGTTGATGTGTGAATTATAATGCATCGGTTAGGCACTCGCGTGAGGCTACCTCAGCCAGCACGTGCTCGCTTATGGCATTTGTACGCAGGCAAAACTGTATGAAAAAGAGCTAGAGACCAAAGCAATTTTCATAGGGCAATCTACGTTTATTTAAATAAAAACAGTTTTTTTTAACGTACTAACTGAAATACAAAAATATGGACTCCAAAAACAGAAGAATGTTCGCTGCGTTTGTTAATAACAGAATGAAAACAAAGGCTCGTGTGTTGTCGCCTGTAGGGGTTTAGAGGAACTAATGCAGCTGGACAGATGCGCAATAACGGAGCTCCACGTTTAATATTAAAGCTCTGGAGTTCAGTCAAATAGGAGACATGTGGCAAGCTGATTTACCTTTATTCCTTCAACTTTACCAGTACTTATTTTACATAGAGTAGTCCAATAGCGACTAGTGTCTTTCTTTATTTCACTACACCCTAATTATTCATTTAACCGAAACAACTTTGATAATGACAAGCACATTTCCAAGGGTACACATTTAGGATCTGTGGTTCAGATATGAACTATTCAACTCCAGCTTGACTAGTAACCATTTCATTAGGTACTAGAAGCTATTGATATTGATCTCAACTGTTACAAGTAACATTCTTTATCTCACTAGTAACATTTGATTTTTCACTTATATGTAATGACTAGCCTAGTTAGAATGGCTTCTTTATGGTTCAAACAGAAGTCTTACTAGTGCGATTAAAATGTCACTTGTAACAACTGGGATACACGCTAGTATCTATTCAAGCTGGAATAGATACTAGAAACTGTTTGAACAGTTACCTGATGAATAATGAGTATAAGTAACAAAAACAAATGCTAGTTAGTGTTAAGGAATAAATGTCAAACCGGCTTGCCACACATATGAACGCATCGTGGTCACCATCTGCCGCAGCAGGGCTCGGGTGAGAATTTGAGGGGGCTGTATCGGTTCATGGGCGATCTGTGATGAGGGCTCACCTTATGTTTTATCGTTTTCCTTTTTAAAGGTACAGGGTGACTTTAGTGGGGCCATCGGTTCTAACAACACAACCAAAAGGGGCGTTGTCTTTGCCAAAACATGTTCACACAAATACGCACAACCCTCCCAAAGTCCTGAAATAACGGGAAGCAGCCCTTGCTCAAAGCATGCAGAAAGTCCCAAGCGCTCATTCCTTGCCGGTCACCAGCGACAGCTCCTTGAGAATGCCACTGGCGTCCACGCGCCGTCTCTCGCGTATCATCTCCTCCAGGCTGCGGAACATGAGCGTGTGCGCGGTGCTCTCGGACAGGTGCACCTTCAGAAAGTAGCGCTGCTCGACCGAGTGCGCCTCGCCGCCCGCTTTAAACTCCCGCTTGCCGAAACGGCACCAGGCTGCGAAACTTTCCGAGTTCGTCCAGCAAATCTCGCCGCTGCTGAGCCCCACGTGCCCGCTCGCGTTCTGCATCACCAAATCAGCTGGCAGCGGTCGGTAGCGGTACCGATTGTTCACTATCCTGCCCTGCCGACCGCAGCTGATCTCAAACAAGCTGTCCTTGCGGATCTCCCCCTTGTAGAGGTGAATAACCTGGTCCTCCCCTTCAAAGATCGCCCAGTGCGGGGGTTGTGCGTTGGCCACTAACTCCAGTAGATCCCCGGGTTTGCACATGGTCAATAAAGTTTTCACCGAATAAACATTCAGGTCCTCGTTCTCTCGCAGTTTGGAGTATATACATTCCTGGCAGCAGAACGCCGAGTACTCGATCTCGTTGAGCGCAATCGGACCGTCTTTGCTCGGGCTGTTGTTGTCTTTAAAGCTGTCTGACTGCGATCGATCGTCCAGCTCTTCCTCTTCATCGGAAAAGAAATACGCCACGCCAACACGCAACTCGTCCTTCTCGATGCCCGATGGATCCCCGGTGGGTAGCTCGCTGTAGTTTAGGTGGGTGATCCGGTCCAGTTGGTTTCCCATCAATAACAGGGCAGAGAAGAGACATGGAATACTGCTTCTGAAATACAACAGGCTTATGTGAGTGTCATGCTAGAGAGGCGGACTGAAATTATTCTGACGCGCCCAAAAATGCTGTCTAGGTACACAGCCGTAGTAAGTCACCTCACAACACAATAAACCACGCGCACCTGGGCGCGTAAACAAGCCAGTCGCGCAGAGCGCGGCACAAAGAGGCAAAGGGCGAGTCAATGTTGAGCTGCTCACGAAGCTCTTGCTAATACGGTAAGTTCACAACACAACACCTCGAACGGACGCGTACCTGCGTATTTCCCCAGGACTATGGCTAATGGTCCTTTCTCTCCATCGGTGCTTGCGCTGTGTGTATCCCGCAAGATCTCCAAAACAAAACGCGTTCGCCTCCCCCTTACGTGTCCTCCAAGGTAAACTGGATTCTCTAACACTTTGCACCGCCGCACTTTAAATAGTCTAGAAATCTCCGCCCCGACCAGCAGAACCTGCCCTCCTCATGGCGATTGGTTCAGAGCCCTCATGAAAAACTTAAGACCTTTGCTCAGAGGCGTAGGCTATAATATTACAGCTGTTTGTGTTGTTCGCAGCCTTCAAGACCCAAAGGGTTTGGCAGATTTGTCAAATATAACAATAGTACATCTAGGCTTGAAATAGAGCTAGGAAAGGTTAGAGATTCATTATAAGGACATGTGGTTTCTGAATGCTTGATTAGCTCTGTCAAAACAAGTTAGAGCTTTTGTTTGCAGGGAGAACACTTTATTAAAGCAGTATTCAGATTCAATACATAATGTGGGCATAATGTTGATGACCAACGACCACAAAAATTATTTAGCCTTGTCCCTCATTTTTTTTAAACAGCAAAATTGAGGCACTTTTAAAAATGAAACTTACAATTTAATAAACGCACACTCTTTCTTTAAGCATTATTTGATTCTGATGTTGTCATGGCAATAAAGTTATGAAACTACAGTATAACTTAAACAAAAGGGTTAGTAAGCATTTTTTATGCATCTACGACACTTTATAATAAGGTCTCATTACATTGGCTAATGCAATAACATTAATAAGCAGTACATGGTTCTGTATTTATTAATCTTTGTTAATGTTGTTTTATAAAAATACAATTAAAAATTCATTTAAAATGTAAAATTAAAAGTTAATTAAAAATTAAATAATATTAATAGATACAACTTTTTATTCTAATGATTTATTAGCAAATATTGAAATTAGCATTGATTAATAAATTCTTTAGAAGTATTTTTCACTGTTAGTTCATGTTAACTAATGTTGTTAAAGGGGTCATATGATGCTTTTTTAAAGATCATTATTTTGTGTATTTGGTGTAACAGAATATGTTGACATGCTTTAATGTTCAAAAAACACATTATTTTTCAAATACTGTACATTATTGTAGGTCCTCTATGCCCTGCCTCTCTCAAACGCTTCGTTTTCTACAAAGTCCCTCCTTCCGATAAGCGCAGTCTGCTCTGATTGGCCAGCTGACCCAGTGCATTGTGATTGGCCGAACACCAATCACTCTGACTCGTCGGAAATGTAACGCCCCTTACCATAATCGCGAGAAAGCAGTATTTTATGGGCTTCATCTAAAATGCTGCCAAGATAACTAATCATTCCCTCTATATGAGTTTAGCAGTTGGTGTATGTGAACCCCTTTCGCAAGCATACAGCTAAACACACTTGAATCTATCTTCTGCTCTAGCAGGTATAGAGTTTTTACCTAAAAGAGCTCCTTTTGTTGTTGTTATTCCATAGAAAAGTTTGAGCATTGTAATATATACTGTGGGGTCCAAGAGCTTTAGACTGTATTGAAAATCTGGGATTTTGTTTTTCATTTAAACTTTTAAATATTAATAATAATAATAAACGTGACAAAACCTAAAATTATACAAAACCTACTGGATTCTGTTTTATTTCTAGGGTGCTCATTGAATAAGCTAATTTGTTACCCTGATCACGTAATGCTTTATCACATGATCGTAAGATTTTACATAAACCCGTGGAATTCAAGTGCTGTCATCACTTAAAAAAAAAAAAATATCAAAATCACAAAGCCTACCGTTGATTCTTGCACCGCATCATCATCAAGGAAAAATATTATTTTAAGGTACATTATGATATGTTGCCATACGGCAACAGCATACAATAGTGGATATAACTTAGAATAAGAGTAAGCTTACTTATAATTAATATTTTTCCTCAGAAATGTTGTTTGTGTTGATTCAATTGGTGCTATTATAAGCTTTAACACAATACTTACAGTATAATTGACACCTTATACATACTTTCCAACTTGTGCTTTTATTTATTCCATTATTTTTTGCTGAATAATGATTTATAATTGTTTTATTTCATTACATTTTTCATGAATATTATTTAAATGGCAAATTTATACAGTTAAAACAAATATAATACTGTATATAATGTATCATAAAACATTGACATAAACCAAAAACATTGCAGTTCATGAAAATTCAGCATTAAGAAATCTTATGAGAGGAAGACTATGAACATGCCATTATCATACGACTAATCAACATTATATCACTAGTATTAATGTTGTTATTGTTACAGCTTAACAAATTGCAGCTGACCTTGCTAGCTAGCTAAACT